TCTCTCCAGTATGAGTTCGCTGATGGACACTCAAAGATGACTTCTGCGAGAAGCCTTTCACACAATGACAACATACACAGGATTTGACTTCCGTGAAGTTCAGTCCCAGTGCACTTGGATTTCTGAGTTTCAGGGAAAACCATTTCAGTCCAAAACTGGTCACAGTCACCGTGAAGCAAGGTTTTCTCATCTCCATGAAGCTCAGCAGACTGCTTTACTTAATTACTTCTTCTCTGATGGACAGCTGATGAAGTTAACTCTCATTTCACAACTGTTATCAGGTAATTTAAATATATCATGGTTTTCCATGAAATGAACATTTTGGGTTGATGATCAGTATCTTCCCATGAATTAATGTGAAAACAGTGGCCCAGTTTTTATATTTTTCTTTCATTAGACAAGAGCCCAAGCAGACGATGATCAGTGTTCTGGACTTCTAGGAAAGAAGAGAACAATGAATTTTCAACATCTTGATTTGGAATGAAACCAGTAAAAAGAAAAGGTAAGAGATGTAATTTGGAATTTCAATTAAGCAATTAAGTACAAAAGTTTGCCTAGTGGGAAAAAGCTGGGTTACAATCGCAAAGAAGTCTGTTCAAATCTTCCAGCTGTTCTGTGGGTTAAAGATAGGCAATCTCAGGGACCTCTGCTGGCCTAGTGGCAAGAAACTGCACTGCAATCCCAGAGGTGAGCGGTTCAAATTCACCAGATGCTCTGCTGGAGAAGGAGGGGTAATCTCCTCCGATACCGGTCAGATCTGATGGTACACACACACAAAATTTAAAATAAAAAAGAAAAGATGGACAATCTCCTCCTGTGCATTTAATTGTCTATGCAGTAACAACAACATTTTCATATTGAGTGTAAATAAAATATCACACACTGTTACTTTCACTCTGATACAAACAAAACAAATCGTAAGCAAATTAGTCTAGGTTTAAGGCAGGAAGCTGTAGGGAGTGGCTATGCTAACCCAAAGTTAACATTGGAAGGCACCACTGGTCTTAGGAAGATGGGGAATATTCTCCCAATGTGATCTCCATCCTTGAAAACCAACTGGAATGTAAGCTGTGAGTCAATTCCAACTTAGGTAGAGAGGAATCAGATAAGAATAAATGTCTGCTGCATGCACACACACTGGATTGTTTCCTAAAATAGGACTCATTAGGGAGCTCTAGTGGCCTACTGGCTAGAAGCTGAACTGCAATCCCAGAGGTGCACAGTTCAAATCCACCAGATGCTCTGCTGGAGAAGGAGGGGCAATCTCCTCCTATACCAGTCAGATCCGATTTGAT